ATTTCCTCTCTGGGCTTCAATTTCCTTCCCTGAAAAAAAATGAGGTCAATGACCTTACATCTCCACGAGTAGTGTGTTGACGTCACCAGGCAGCTCTCAACAACAACAAAAAGCCCTGCTTTGTAGCATTTGTTTACTTCCACGGATATGGGTGAATACTCTCGCAGGACCTGACTGAGTCTATCTCACTGGACATGGGGTTGAGACAAGATGGTTCTGACAAACTTGACCACTGCCTGCTACCATCAGGGGATGAGGGAACACAAAATAAGATAATGGCCTTGAAAGTGCTTCTTGTTGTTGTGTACCTTCGAGTCTGAACTGATCTATAGCTGACACTCCAGCAGGTTTTCAGAAGCAGTAAAGAGATTGCCCATCTTTCTCTCATGGAGCAGCTGATGGATTTGAACTGCATACGTTTGCCTTGGCTGTGCAATTCCTTATCACTAAGCCACCAAAGCTCCCTTTGAAAGTTCTTAGTAACTTACAGAGTGCTCTGTAGACAGGGAGCATCCTACAGTCAAGGAACCGTTGTCTTGGCCTAGTTCTACTCCAGGAAGGCAGCAGGTTGTGTGCTGTGAAACGCTGTGTTAAAAGGCAAGTCCCAAGAGCCATCCGGTGTAACTGCTGAGATCCAAGAAGAAAAGAAACCATACTGTCAATATTGGCTTGATTTATATTTATTTGCCCACCCCCATTACGCTCCCTGAAACTGAAGGAGGCAGGACGAAAGTTAGACTTCAATTGAAACTTCCTTCCCTGTACAAATATCAGTCCTGGGACACTGGAGCCATCAGAGAGGCGTCCTGAGAGCCAAACCAACAGAGTCAGCCCCTCCTTCCTACTCCAATACGTCCCAAGCCATGTCTCTACCACAGAGGAATGACTGAAATTACTTCTGAGGTTAGAGAGCAAGAGGAAGGCAGTTTAGCTTCTGTTAAAGGTAGAGGGAAAGAGAAGGATGCGCAGTCTGCTTCCATGAGGATGTACAGCTTTGGAAACCCTATGGGACAGTTTAACTCTATCCAGTGGGGTCCCTCTGAGCCAGTATTGAATTGAAGGCAATGGGTTTGGGAAACAAGGAGGAAGATGTCAGAGAGAGAGAGGTGGGAAGAAGGAAAGGGGAGTTGCTTCTGGCTTATCCCGCCACCCCAGCTCATGCCTTAAATTAGTGCTGTCCCACTGCTAATTATTAATAATAGCTATCATTTATTGAGCACGTACTGTGTGTTAAGCTATTTACAAGCAATATTTCATCTAATCCTCCAGAGAGGTACGTATTAGTAGCCCTTTTTTATAGATAAGGAAACTGAGGCCCAGGAAAGGAAGTTGAGCAGCTTACCCAACCATAGTCTCACAGCTCCTGGGGCTCAGAGCATCTGAACATCATCCGACTTCAGGAGCCCTGGTGACTACACAGGTGTGAAGAATTAAAGTCAACTTGTCTCACCCCTTTTCTTGGCTGTATGATTTTAAGCAAATCTAACTTCTCTGAGCCTTCCTTCATCATTTGCAAAATAGAACTTTGACTTTGAGGAATGGGAAGATGGGGAGGGCATGGCCACTGGGTCAGGTTAACACAGATAAAACCTGTCCAGAGCAAACCTTGTACTGAGGATGGCTCGGAAACTTCTGAACCCTCTGTGAGAATTGAAGGGCAAGCTCCCTGAGCGCTGCACAGATTTTCTAGGTCCTTCCTTTCATGGTACTTAATCTTGTTCGTGGGGCCTTTGAGAAGGTGGGGTCTGGCCACGCCAGAGTAGAGATGGCATGACTGTGAACTGAATCCCTGAGGTAAGGCCTCTGAAGAGCAAGAACTCTACCAGGACTCGAGCTCATGACCTAGGAAACAGCTGAAGATCAGAACCCAGGCTCAGGGAGGCCTCCTTAAGCCTAGAACTTCAAGAAGAGGAACAGAGCTGGGATCCGAGACTCTGAGCCCCTAAAGAGCAGAGACCAGGCAGGCTAGGCAGAGCAAGCAAGGGAAAGTGTCACCTGGGGCTGAAGCCATCAGTGCTGCCCTGCCTGAACCAACATGGCCACCAGGGGAGACCACTGGGTCATTTGGTCAGTAGGTTGGATGTGTCCTTGGGCACTTTTCACGTGCACAAACCTACTGCCATTGAGTCAGTTCAACTCACAGCAATCTTGTAGGACAGAATGGAGCAGTAGGGCTTCTGAGGCTGTCAATCTTCACAGGGACAGACTGCTTCATCTTTCTCCCACGGAACAGCTGATAGGTGCAAATCACTGACCTTTCTGTTTATTGTCCAGGGTTTAATTCACTGTGCCATCAGGGCACCGTCATACCAGGAACCTTCTACATATCATTTCATGCAATCTTCCAGACAACTCTGGAAGGTGGCTCGGTGATACCCAGACAGCTAGAGGCAGTTCAAAGTTACAAGCCAGGAAGTGACAATGCTGGGACTCAAGCTCAGGGCATAATCCTGGTTCTTGACCACCACGCTATGCTGTCTCCAGAAAGAGGAGCTACCACTTCCCCATCAGGAGAAGGCCCGCTACCTAGGAAGAGGATAGGGAAGACCACCACCCCCTCCACTCCCCACCCCCCTGTCCTGCTGTCATCAGCATTCCAGCTGGAGAGAACGCCTTGGGAAGGTGCCAAGCCCAGCACCACCTCCGGGGAAGCAGCCCTGGGCCAGTGGGTGTGGCAGGCAGGCCTGCACTGTCCAGGAAGAGCTGTCCAGGGAGCCAGGGCCTGCCTGGGCAGTCATGCGGAGCCAGAGATGGGCTGCCCCATACTCAGGGGGGCGCCAGGTCTGCTCCATCTCGGTGTCCAGTTACGGCCAGCTAGGCGCTTCCCCGGTCACGCCACATTTAACACTGCCGAGTGAGCAGGCTCCCGGACACGGAGAAGGGGTGATGAGAACTCTAAGAGAGGTGGAAGAGTCCCCCATCCTCATATTTCGCCCCCTGGACCTCAGCTTCCAGCCCCCTCTGCCGTTCATTGCCTGTCAGACTTGGGGCGAGTTCTTTCTTCAGTAGCCCCCTCTCTAGATGAAGGAGCTGGTTTAACAAAGACGTACCTGGTGGTGGCTGGGTTCCATGGAGGTCAGGCCAGCCCTCCTCCCACAGCCCCAGAGATAACACGGCCTGGGGAGGGTCTTCCTGCTGTGGCTCGAGTGGGTCTGGAGGAGGAGGGATAAATATATTTCTTGTGCTTTTTTGCTGCCTGAACCCCAGCTTCTCTCCACAACTGTCACCCTTAGCAAGCAAAGAAGCCATAAAAGGAGTACAGGAGGGTGAGGGAAATTGCAAGAATCCAGTCTGAAAAACAATGTATTAGAATTTTGTAAATACATAATAATAATAGAGAACAGATCTGAAGTCAGATAAATCTAAGTTTGGATCCTGTCAAGGATTAGCTAGTGATGTGGGCATGTTATGTAACCCCTCTGAGTCTCAGTTTTCAGGCCTGGAAAGTAAAGTTGTACTTTCTTCACAGAACAGTTCTTATCATTCGATGAGAACATTATCCAAATAATGTATACAATGGCCAGCAGATTTCTCCAGAAATGGTAGATTGTATTAGGAAGAACTTGGACAAAGGGAAGGAATTCAAGGTAACTTTGCAGAGGAGGAGAGCTCTGATGATAATGTTATTGCTGTTCCATATTTGCAGTCTAGAGGGAACCAACTCATAAATGACCTCTCGCGAGTTTTTAGAAACTGTAAATTGCATGGAAGGAGATTGCCCAACTTTCTTCCACGGAACAGCTGGTGGATTCAAACCGCCTGTCTTTGTGTTGGCAGCACAACTCCTTACCACTAAGCCACCAGAGCTCATGATACTAAGGATAATTTTTTCTGTTGTTGTTGTTGTTGATGATAGCCTTCGAGTCAAACACAAGTCTTGGCGACCCTATGAACAAAAGGCCTGAAGCCCTTCTACAACTATCGACATTTATCAAAGTTCACAGAGTTTCCGGAGGCATGTTGTTTAGGAAGTGGATGCCACTTCTGCTTTCAATAGCCAAACAAATAATGATATTAACAAGAGCTGACATTTAGCAAGCACTTATTTACATCCTAAATACTTTCTATGCATGATTTCATTTAATACAGTTCTGTGAGGTAGGGGCTATCATTCTTCTTATTTTATAAAGGATGGTGCTGATACTAGAAAACTCACTAAGAAAAAGGCCGAGCCTGGCCTGAGCCCTCTGAGTCACTCCACTGTGCTGAGGATGGGGCTCTCCTAGAATTCTAGAAGGTCTGAGCAGAAAGAGCCTTAAGATTCATCTGATCCAAACACCTAGCTTTTCAGATGAGGAAAACGAGAACCAACAAGAGGCCTACATGAGGCGGAGTTTGGAGTTGTAGATGAAAAAGGCACATGCTGGTGGCATCCCCGGTACCTGCTAGTCTCATGGTGCCACCAGGTGACCCAGGACACCTTAAGATCCTAGATGTATCCTGTGGTCTTGCTACTGGGATAAGATCCCAAAGGGGCCGCTGCAAGCCCAGCCTCCACTGAGGACTGAGTTGTTTGCTATACAGCCCCCACTTCATGCCTGCTCCCACTCCAGGGCCTGCCCCCCCCACCCCACTCCATGCTTCCCTCTACCCTCACTGAACAGACTGCTGGCTGGGTCACCTGGCCTATCCTGTCCCTACAGAGACAAGGAAACTAAGCCTGAGGAGCCTCAGGCAGGGTCTTGCTCAGGCCAGCCCTCTCTCCTCAGACAGCACCCATCTACCTCCTTAGTTTCTTTCTCCACCCATCTCTTTTTTGGTCTCTCTCACTCTCTCTGCCTTTCTTTGCTCAGCATCTCTTCTTGTTTGTCCATTTCCTCCTGATTCTGGTGGGTATTTTTTTTTCCTTTTGTCTGTCTGCCTCTTTGTCTGTCTGTCTCTCTGATGACTAGCATAAGGCAAAGTCCCAAGGCAGATATAGGGTGGGATTGGAGGTAGACCTGGGGCTGGTCACTCCCGGAAGCTGGTCCTCACTCTCATTGTCGCTGGCTTTCTTCGAGGCCAGGACTGGGTGATGGTGTCGCTGCTCCCGCCACAGTCTGACGTCACCCTGCCGGACCCCACCAGATTGGAAGGCGAGCCCCAAGGGGAGGACCTCATGCAAGCACCGGGCCTCCCAGGCTCCCCTGCCCCTCAGAATGTAAGTATCTTGCACCTAGGCCTGCCTGGGCTTAGGTCAAAGCCTGAGGGCTGTATAGATAGCAGGTGGACGGGTCACCCCCTATCCAGCCCACCTCCAGGAACCTATTGGGGGTCTGTCTTGTCCCTTTCATTAGCAGGCAAATGCTCAGTGACCCCATGATCCAGAAGTGTCTAACTCCTTTGGTCTGGAAATTTCCCAGAGCAGGGCTGACTTGGGGTTCCCTAGGTTTATGGGTAATATATCTTCAATGGATTGGGGCATTCAAGAGTAGACTAGGCCTCCTCTAGTAGTTTAGGGTTCCCTAAGATGAGCTACTGACCACTTCACGCCAGCACAGAGTAGGATCCTGGCAGGTCCTCCACTTCTGCTGACAGGCCCTCTACCCTCTGTCTACCCAGAAGCATGCCGGCTTCAGCTGCTCGTCCTTTGTGCCCGACGGCCCACCAGAGAGGGCACCCTCACTGCCGCCACATAGCCCCAGCATTGCATCACCAGGCCCCGAACAGGTGCAGGGCCACTGCCCAACAGGCCCCAGCCTGGGCCCCTTCCGACCCTCACCCTCTGACAAGTACCCCAGTGGCTTTGGCTTTGAGGACAGCCCAGCAGGCAGCCCCGGACGTTTCCTCAAGGGTGGCCACGTGCCTTTCCATCCGTACAAGAGGCATTTTCACGAAGATGTCTTCCCTGAGGCCCAGACCGCCCTGACACTGGATGGACACTGCTTTAAGACCCCGGGGTCACTGGAGGACTTCGAGGAGATCCCTGTGGATATTGGGGATGCTGACACCTTCTTGCCTGGCTTCTCAGCAGAGGCCTGGTGCAACGGGCTCTCCTACCCCAGCCAGGAGCACAACCCCCAAATCCTGGTGAGTACAAATAGCCAGTGGGTATTCCACTCTACGCCGGGCAACCTAGAATGAGAGTCAGCTCCCCACCTTTCCTTTCCTGACCCTTCCACTCAGGATCTGTGTGTGCCAGGGAAGTGGCATGCTCAGCACGCTGAGGCCTCCCCTCAGCTGGGGAGGGGTTGCAGGCTGGGCCTGCATAGAGGGGAATGAGGCGGGGGAGGCAAGAAAAGCTAAGGAAGCTGGCAGCTTCCCAGAGGCTCCTGAGTCAGGATTCCAGAATGTGACTTCTCTCTGTTTGTTTAAGTGTCAAGAATCCCCAGCTAGACAAGCACGCCCATATGCAAATGTGAGAAGAAAAACACATTCCAGAGGCCAAGAGAAAGGGTTTAGGGAGGAGCCACAGAGCACACTCGGCCCTCTCCCGCATCAGTGCACACAGTTGAGAGGACTAAATCTTCTTGAGGGGCCTTCCCCAGCTCCGCTCTTTGTCCTGAGCGAGACCTAGAAAGAGTCATACAAATATCTTGGAGACACATCATTGGAAGGGCCTTCCACAGCTGTACCAACAAGCTGTGCAAACTCAAGCAAGTCACTTAACCTTTTTGAGCCTTCTCCACAAAGTAAGGTGTCTGCACCATAGGGTTGTTGAGGAGGAAAGCTAAAGGGAACTTTGCTCTTTGCCCCTCCAATTTAGAGTTCCTAGAATTAGAGGTGAGTCTTGAATGGTGATGACCCCAAAAGCCCTCAGTCTTCCTCACTTCTTGCTCCTGAGAGCTCCCATTCCAGCCCTAACAAAAACCTTGCTTTCTAGGTTTGGAAATTGAAGATGGAGATTGGCCACCTAGTAAATATGACTGAGATGGGACTTTGTTCCAGCTCTGGAGCCAATTAGTGGCTTCTTCTTGGGCCCAGCAGCCCAGTGAGGCCACCACAGCCTCAGCTATTGTTCCTCAAAAGTCATTAATGCCAGCTCCTCATCACTCTGCCAGGTGCTTTCTTCCAAGTGTCTGCTTACTCTTTGCACCAACCCCCTAAAAATTCCCATATCCCCATTTGCAGATGAGAAAACTGAAGCTCACAAAAGCCGAGTAATTTGCCCAAGGTGTCCCCCAGTCTGTTAGAGGACAGGCTGAGATTTGAGCCTGAACCTTTCCTGCACGTGGAGAAGTGCTTGGACCAGAGACTCACACCAGGTGGTTGATAGCAGGGTGACTCTAGGGCACTTCACTTGTCCTATTTGGGCTCAGCCCCATCATCTGTCAAATGAAAGGTTTAGACACCAGTGCATGTGGCCCTTCCAGGCCTGAGATTCTATGATTATGACAATCTCCGTATCAACCACTCCAGGGCACACCCAGAGAGAGGACCGAGTTGACTCGACCCTCTGGACTTAGATGTTGTTGTCCTGAGGCCTCTTGTAAACCCAGGCAGAGTGGAACCCCTCTTTCACTCCTGGTTCACCAACTAGGCTGGGTGACTTATCCCTCCTGGTCATTTTCAAGACAAGGTTTGTTCTAGTTCCTGGGGGACCCACAATCCCATGAGAAACCAAGCTCTGGCCACCATCAATGATACCGCTGCAGACTGCCTATGCCTGGGGCCAGAGCTTATAATGGGGTCATACAGACCTGCAACCGGGTAGACTGCCTGCAGGAGGGAGGGGATGGTGGGAGATGAAGTGGAGAAGACTCGCTAGCCCCATCCACAGAGCCTTCCTGGAGCTTCCCAGGACTTCACGGGGGAGGAAATGTCAGGGGCCTGGTCACCATAGCTGGACCAACTGGTCTGGTCACTTCCCATGGTTCATCCTCCTCTGCCTCCACCCACTCCCTGGCTCCTCAGTGGGAATTCTGGCACAGTGGCCTGCTCTGGTGTCCTTGTGGGCCTGCTCTGAGAGCCCAGAGGCTCTGAACTAGGCAGTCCTTCAGCTGGGCTGGTGAACCATTAGACCCTTGTGGCAGCCCAAGAAGTCTCCAGCCCTCCCCAGCCTCAGGATGGTCATTGACAAGTGTCTCTCGCTTCTCACAGCCTCAGCCACTCACCCAGAGAGAGTCAGCAGGTAAAGAAGTTCAAACTCATTGCTGTCAAGTCAGAACCAACTTACAGCTAACTTTCCAATGGGTTTCTGAGATTGTAAATTACATGAGAGGAGATTGCCCAGCTTTCTCTCTTGGAGCTGCTGGTAGATTCAAAGTGCCAGAGAAGCATGGCCTTGGGTTAGTGACACTACTCTCTATGGACTACGCACTACACCACTAGGACTCCCTGGAAAGTAAAGTGCACTGTCAATTATCACTCCACATCCACTTCTTATTTGCTGTATGTCCTGAGGGGAAATCTCTGCCCCTCTCTGTTCTTTCTCCAGGAATAAACTTTGAAGAGGAAGAATAGGGGCTACTTGTGTGTAATAAACATAGGTTTGGGACATGAGACAGAGGGAGAAAAATGAAGTACAGTCTAGCTATCTCCTTTCTCTTTCAGCAGGGGTCGGAGGTGAAGGTCAAGCCCTCAATTTTGGAGAATGGTCCTGGGATGTACTGCTACCAGCCCCCCTTGCAGCACATGTACTGTCCCTCCCAGCCTCCCTTCCACCAGGTGGGTCCAAGGAAGGTGGGCATGCTTCCCTGGGGCTCAGGATATTATCCTAAGGTGACACATAAGGGCAGCAGCGACCTGCACCTCAAGCTGGGCCACCTGATGTGTAGGGGAGGATGGGGGCTCATCATGGGAGCAGAGGAGGATGGGCAACAATTGCTGTCCTCTGGAGAAGATGGGCCTGAGAAGCATCACAGACAAGCTGAGAATGTGAGGAGGACCAGGATGTTAATTGAAAAGAAGAGTCAGCACAAACAACTTAGAGAGAAAAGGGTGGGCAGTTTGACCCATAATACTAAGCCAAGCAGGGAACAATGAGCTCCCATCGAAGCTGCCACTATCTTGCAATGTGGTTTTGGTCCCAGATTTCCCTTTAGTCCTTAGAGGGTGAGTACCAGGTATGGAGTGGGGGCCCCTCCCTCCTGGAATGCTCCCAGTCTCCATCTGTTCCTGCCCTTTCCCCCTCCCCCACCCTCTTGCCCAGTCTCAGCTCCTCCCAGACGTACAGGATTCCAAGTAATTACCCCACACTGGCATACGATGGAGCTTTCTAAAAAGAGAGAGAAAAGAGCCCCAGAGCAGCCAGGCAGCTCCCAGGAGTCACCGGGCAAGACGGAGCAAGTGCTGCCCAGAGCCCGGCTCCATCCACCTGCAGCCTGGCACCAAGACAGGCCTTGCCAGTGGAGCAGGTTCTACTCCCAGCTCTTTGGCATCGGCCCTGATCTTGGCAAAGCCGGGGAGGCAGCCACGGGTTGTGGAGAAAGAGAAGGCTGCCTACTTTGTGGGGGGAAGGAAGAAAGTGATGAAGGGAATTAGATGGAGCGTGCGTAGGCGCACCATCTCTGCAGGGGCAGAATAGCTGACCACTATTCAGGGGCTCAAGGTCTGAGCTGGGATAGAGTGTCAGCTTACCCTCAAGCCCAGAGCCACAGCAGGGTGAAGGGGACACCAGGCCTTAAACGGCCTTACCATTCTCCTGCCCTGCTTTGATGCACTCTGCATTTGACACCCCAACCCCAAACCTGATGGGCACACCCAGGGCTTTATGGACCTGGGAGAGGGTGACTCAGGCACTAAGTGCCTCTCGGGTGACCTGGAAAGAGCACTTGAGCCTGGAGCAGTTGGGGGAGTCAGAGTCTCCTACCCCTCTCCCATAAAACACCGTCCCTGGCACCACAGCCACTCCCTCTGCCGTAAAACACCTCCCACCCCCACCTGCCCACCACCACGACCTGCCCTTTCAAAGAGCCACTGAAACTCGTAAAAGGTGGCAGTCAGTGCCCGGCAAACGCCCAGGCTGGACATTTCACTTCCGGCCTAGCTGCTTTGTGAGATGCAAGGGAGGCCTGGAGTGCCTCTCTGGAAAGGCACAGGGGCCGGAGGAAGGTTTCCGCTCAGACTCTGTGGCCCAGCTAGACTCTTATCTTAATAGCTATGGCCACTCAAGTGCCTAAAGGACTCAGGACCTCTTCGGGGTCTTCTCACCAGCTCTCAGACCGCCACCTCCCTGGCTCCACCATCGGGGTAGGGGAGATGAGATAGGGATGGGGGAAGAGAGAAAGCAGAAACCACTCTTGAAACCACTCTGCCCTTTGACCTCTACAGTACTCACCAGGTGGTGGCAGCTATCCTGTACCCTACCTGAGCTCCTCACACTACCCCTACCAGCGGATCGCCCCCCAGGCCAGCGCTGACGGGCACCAGCCTCTCTTCCCCAAACCCATCTACTCCTACAGGTACCTTTCCATGTATTCTGGGGATAGAATGAAAGAGCTTGGGGAGTGCCTGGGGAAACTGGGACATGGAACACTCAGAATAAAGGCGTCCTGGTGGGGTGAAAGATATACTCCTCAGGCCTCCTGATGATGCTGCAGAGAAGTTTCTTGCATCTGGCTGAAGATAGACAACCTCACCTCTGCTCTCTTGTTTCATTAACTTTGAGGAGCCAGCTTGGTCCTCATGCCCTAGGGTGAACTCTGAGAGTTTAGAGGGGTGCTTGTCCCCTCCTCCCTTTCCATATTCCCAAAGCTCTAAAGGAAATAAATGAAGGTTGAGGAGTCTGTTATTTATCATGTAGCAGATCTGATGGGACTGCTTTGTGGCTGTGGTTTTAAAGACCAGGCCAGTAGCACCCAGCCCATCTAGAAGACCCTTCCATCCATCTTTTCATTCATCTAATCCACAGTTGGTACTCCATCTGCTGTGTGTCAGGCCCCATGTGGGGTTAGGTTATCAGCCTGTGTGAGCTCAGAGGAAGGAAAAAGGACATAAATATCTTCCAGGAGCACAGAGAAAAGGCTCACGGGAGGTAGCATGGCATCCATGAAGGCCTCGGGGTTCAGGAAGGCTGGATTCAAGTCCAGGCTTTGAAAGTTACTAGCTATGAAACTAAAGGCAAGTTACTTAAGCTCTCTGAGCCTCTAACTCTGTGACTGCAGCTCTGGGCCATAGAAAGATTAGCAAGAAGCTGTAAGTACTGTGCCTGGAGCACTGTAGGGGCTCAAGAAATCTGAGTTCAGCCTTAAACTCTGAGGTCCAGCACTCCAAAGGTTGACTGAGAACTAACTGTGATAATGCCAACCTTCCACGCAGTGCTTTCTGAGTGCTCTGCATCTTTTTAATCTCTACAGTTCTAAAATAGTTCTTACTTTCTTTGCTTCAAAACTGAGGAAACAAGGCTCAGAGAATCCACACCGCAAAGTCACACAGCTGGCGAGTGGCTAAGCCTGGACTATGAGCCAGGTCTCTCAGCTGTACCAAGAGAGCTTAGTCTCTGTAGAAGTCTCTGACCACCAAGTGTGCTTTCTCTTCTATCTCCGCTCCTTTGAACGTCTCTGAATCTCACAGAATCTCTCACCTATTAACCCTGCATCCTCTGTCTCTACTCTAACGGGGCGTGGGGTGGAGGTGGGGGATCCAGGTTGGGGCTCAGAGCCTGGCCAGAGGTGTAGATTTTCAGAAGTTTTCTCTGCCTTCAGCATCCTCATTTTCATGGCCCTGAAGAACAGTAAAACCGGAAGCCTTCCTGTCAGCGAAATCTACAATTTTATGACCGAGCACTTTCCTTACTTCAAGGTGAGTCCACCCCACAATCCCAGTTCCCAGGCAAGGCAGCCCTCCCTGGAGCTGAGGATGCAGCCCTGGTTGGGAAAAGCATGGAAATTAGATGAGATTTCCCTCCCCTTGGGTTTCCTCTTGTCTTCCTCCTCCAAAGGACAGACTTCCTGAAGAAGGGGCTCACTGCTCACGGATTATGCAGCATTTCACAGTGCTAGAGTCAGATCTTCCGCAGGTCCAGGCAGTTGTCAATCTTGATAGGCTTCAGGGAGTATCTGCCTACATTAAATGAAGAGAGAGAGTTTGGGAAGAAATGAAAGCTGTTCCCACCCCTGGCCCCAGGATACTGCAGGGCAGGAGGAATTTGGGTGGGAGCTGGCCAGCCCAAGTGACATGGGCTGCTGGGGCCACAAAGCCCATTGCCTTCCAGGAGATTAGCATCTGCCTCTGTGGGCGGCAGGCTCAGTTGCAGTTCTGCCAGAAAGCGGGGTGCGGGCTTCACAGTCTTTGAGTGCCCCGGGGAGCTGGCTAGCTCATTTGACCACCTCCCCCAACAGGCAGGATCTAGTGTTTGTCATCCCCAGAAGGGGTTTCTGGAAGCCCTGTCCAACTCCCTTGCAGAAGAAAGATAAGTACCCTTCTCCCCAGATGGGCACACACGTCAGAGAGGGCAATCCATTTGTCCAATGTCACACAGCAACTGGAATCCATAGCTGGATGGAGCTCTTTGCTCCTAGCCTCATATACACACGCGCGCGCACTCACACACACATATACGTCCCTTCTAGTATAGACATACCTTCTCTTATGAAGAATATCTTCTCTCAGAAGTATAAGTCCATCTGCTATCCAGTGGGGGAGGGGTCAGAAGCTGAGGCCGATGTAATCCAGAGCTCAGCTCCACCTGCCAGTGGGTGATTCTCACTCCCACCATCCACCCAACTGCCCTGCCTAAGGACAACTTGTGGCAAAGATTCAAACTTGTTTGGTCCTGTTGAGCTGCCATCCCCTGGGGAGAGGGCAAGATGGCCAGGGTCTGGCCAAAATGGGAATGTATAGTGATTAGAGTTTCTGGAAGGGAGTGAAGAAGAGGGGTAACCTCTGATGTTTGAGAAGCACCAGGACCCATGGGCAGGCTGTCCCCCAGTAAGCCAGGGGATAGAACAAACCTAATACCCAGGGCTTTTGGAGGGCCCTCTAGGACTTTAAGTGCCAGGCCAGAGAAGGAAGTGAAGGTCCTGCCCTACCCCTCTCAGCTCCCTCCTTGCCAACTCCCAGCCTGGCCCCCAGCCCCTCCCTGCATCTCATCTTCCTGCCTTAATTATTTTTCCTGGGAGCTGTGTAATCCCTGTTTTATGGGCCTGAAGAGTGAAGAGGTCTAACAGCTTTTTTTTTTCGTTTCCAGTTGTTGTTCTTAGCCAGTTGCATCACTCCCTCACTCTTGAGTTTACATTTGACTTCAGAGAGAAAGCATCTATGAGGATAGGACAGGGCCCAGGTGGTACCCTCTGGAGTGAGCTGGCCAGTGCCTTTAACTAGGGGACAGAGCTAAAATCGGGGCTCTGTCACTGTGCTTTTGTATTATCTAAGGCAAGGCTTTTTTCTCTGGACCTCAGTTTTCCAATGTGCAAAATGGTTGTGTTGGGTCAGTTGGCCTGTAAGATTCCTTCCAACTCTGAAAATTCTCAGACTCTCTTAAAGAATTGGGTCAAAATATCTCCTGCCCCTCCTATTCTCCACTTCCCATCTGAAGGTCACTCTTCAGAGTAAAGGCAGAGTGGACCATGAGGTGGGCAATACTCATGTCCAAAGCAGCCAACGTTAGCTACTTATAACCACATGAATCAGGGATGTGGGCCTACAGAAGTGTCCATCCACTGGACATAATTGCTAGTGCTGTCCGTCCTTCCTCCAAACAGGAAGTGGCTGGGGTGGGAGCTGCCCTGGCATCCCAAAGTCACAGATTTATAGGGCCATAAAAAGGTCTAGTGCCCATTAATTCTGCCCATGAGGCCATAGATCCTTGACTCTTTGTGGGGACTGTCGTGAGAGTTGAAGGTAAATCCCCAGTTGGTTGGTCTCTGAATCCTCCAAAATCTTCCTTCATGATCCAAGGAGACTTGGAGGTCATCTCCATCGGCCCGATACCCTGTGCCAGTTGACCTCCCAAAGGCTCTGGCAGCTCTTTGCCAGAGACCTGGCATCAGTACCCGGCTCTCCTGGGTGTGATTCACATCGGCTGCTCCCTGGGGCAAGAGAGCTGGTGAAGAGGGAGTGGCTGCCCCTCATTAAGTAGCAATTTCAGGCTGGGAGAGAGAGGGACAAGGAACTAAGGGTAGAGGGGGGTCTCACTGGCTCGGAAGTCTTCTCCCTACAGTCAGAACTTGCTGAGATCAAGGCTGCCAGAGCCTGGAAGAGAAAGGAAGATGGGTGGGCAGAGGGGGTGCCCACTGACACCCCCACCACCGCCTCTCACCCACTGAGTCAGCCTAATGGTTTTTACAGCCCTCCCTGGGCACAATTACTACACTGGTGGCATGACCGGGCCTCCTAATGGGTGTTTATTCTGTTGGCACGAGCACCCCCAGCCTGAGGGCTGGCCTCCCCACCGGGGCACACTCACAACACTCACCCACACACTCTTATGCTCATGAGTACTCACACATCTCCAGACTTTCTCCCACACACTCATCCTGGGGGACACACAGGCCCCCACACTCCGAGCCAGGAAGCACAACTCCCCCAAGGGAGGCACGCAGAGAGGAGCAGATGGATAGTCTCTGTCTCATAAACCAAAAGTCAATGTCCTAGTGTACTTGTATGACTGTACAGAAATACTACAAGTAGGTGACTTTAGCAAACAAAAATAAATGTCTTTTCTCGGTTTCACAGTCTGAAAGAATGAATTCAGAGCACTAATTCTTCTGTCTGCTCTGGTGCATGGGACTTCATTTGGACATCATTCTTCCCCCATTTGTGCTTCCTGGCTTCTGCGCCTAATCAGCTCCTTTCTGATCTCAAAAATGATTGGCTTAAAACCCACCCCAGACTGATAATGGCCTCATTGACACAGCATAGAAAACACTACACCCATAATATGACATCCACAAGTATAGGGTTACAGTTTGAAACACGTGTTTGAGGAGTACACTATTAGAATCATAACACAGACACACACATCACACAATTATTCACATGTGTACACACCCCATATACTCATCAGCCTCCGTCACTCATCTTTCTTTTCTCCTGAGTTCATCCCAAAAAGGTTAAGGCAGATTCAGGAGTGGAGAATTCAATCATCCCTTCCTAATTCCCCTTCCACAGCCCTGAGTTCCCTGTCCGTAGAGGAGAAGACTCAGTGAGGAGGGGCCCAATTTCAGATGGAGGTGGGCTGAGCAGTCTCTACAGCCCCTGCCACACTTGCATTTAGGAATCTCTTAAATAGCAGACCAGGGATGGGGGATGTAGAAAGAGAAAGATAACTAGCAAAACGTATATGAGGATCCAAAGGAGAGGTGAGAATGGGGGGATGAGGGAGGGATAATCATAGGGTCGTACAAGGTGGTGGGTGGAGGGAGGGGTGGGTAAAGGAAATGGGAAAGATCCAGTTTGAAAAGCAATGTATACAAACTTCGTAAGTAAAAAAGTTGTTGTAATGTGCCGTGAGTCACTTGCGACTCATAGCGACCCTATGTACAACAGCCCTAAACCCTGTTCTGTCCTCTGCCAGTCACACTGCCTCTATCACACCCATCCCGATTACCCCAGTCACTGAACCAATCCACCTCATAGAGGGTCTTCCCCTCTTGCGCCATCACTCCACCATCCCAAGCATGATGTCCCTCTCCAAGGACCTGTCCCTCCTTACAACATGTCCAAAGTATGTCAGAATCCTTGCCTCCGAGGAGCAGCCTGGTTTAACCCTCTCCAGCATGAATCTGTTTTCTTAGCAGTCCATGGTACATTCATTACTCTTCTCCAGCACTGCAGCTCAAAGTAGAATATAAAAATATTATTTAAAAGGGAGCTCTGGTGGCCTAGTGGCAAGACACTGCACTGCAATCCCAGAGGTATGCAGTTCAAAACCACCAGATGCTCTGCTGGAGAAGGAAGGGGCAATCTCCTCCTGTACCAGTCAGATCTGATTTGACGGTACACGTAAAAATAATACAATAAAAATTAAAAAAATATTTTTTAAGTGCTCACTTCGACATCACATATACTAAAATTGGAATGATACAGAAAAGATTAGGATGGCTCCTGTGCAAGGACGACATGCAAATTTGTGAAGCATTCAATATTTAAGAAAAACAAACAAAACAAAACCAATGGCCTTTATGGAAAAACTTAAGGCACAGGTTTCCTGCTCACTCCTTTCTCACCAGTGAAATGTGTTAAGCAAGCGCTGGTGGCTTAGTGGTAAGGAGTTGCACTGCCAACCCAAAGCATATGGTTCGAGTCCACCAGCTAGCTGCTCTACAGGAGAAAGATGGGCAGTCTCCTCCTCCCGTGCCATTTATCACACCTCTGAAGGGTCAGCTAGGGGTTGGTTCTGACTCAGCTGCACACAACATCTAACACAAAGTGTGCTAAGCTGGGTGGCAGTTGAGTGGTTGGCAGTTCCATGGCCACAGGGCAAAGGGACTTTCTGGAACCCAGACCTAGAGCTGGCTCTGGTCACCTGACCTGGGGCTTGAACTCTTGTATGCTCTGCTCCTGCAGACAGCACCTGATGGCTGGAAGAATTCCGTCCGTCACAACCTATCCCTGAACAAGTGCTTTGAGAAGGTGGAGAACAAATCAGGAAGCTCCTCTCGCAAAGGCTGCCTGTGGGCCCTCAACCCAGCCAAGATTGACAAAATGCAGGAGGAGCTGCAGAAGTGGAAGAGGAAAGACCCCATCGCTGTGCGCAAAAGCATGGCCAAGCCAGGTGAGGGGACTGCCCTGCACAAGGAGGGCAGAGAGGGAAGCAGTTTAGAAAAAGGCTGAGCAGGGAGAATTGATAAAGAAATGCTTGCTCCAGCCATCAAGTGGGTCCTGAGGCTGGGGGCAGAGGAGATTGAGGGGGAAAGGGAAGCTTCAAGGCTCTGGCACTGGGGAGCACTCAGTCATCAAGGCTTATGGTATTCCTTCTCCCTTGGGGCCTTTTCAGAAGAACTGGACAGCCTCATTGGCGACAAGAGGGAGAAGCTGGGCTCCCCGATGCTCAGCTGCCCACCTCCTGGGCTGGCAGGCTCAGGCCCTATCCGGCCCCTGGCACCCCCCGCTGGGCTCTCACAGCCGCTGCACTCCCTGCACCCAGCAGCAGGCCCCCATCCTGGCAAGAACTCGCTGCAGGACCTACTCGGGGGACATGCACCTTCCTGCTATGGGCAGCCATACTCACACCTCTCACCAGGCCTAGCCCCTCCTGGACCACCTCAGCCTTTGTTCCCTCAGCCAGATGGGCACCTGGAGCTGCGGGCTCAGCCAGGCACCCCCCAGGACTCGCCTCTGCCCGCCCACACCCCACCTAGCCACAGTGCCAAGCTGCTGGCCGAGCCTTCCCCTGCCAGGACGGTGCCTGACACCCTGCTGCCAGACGGAGACCTTGGAACTGACCTGGATGCCATCAACCCCTCTCTCACCGACTTTGACTTCCAGGGTGAGCTGGAGATGGGACCAGGGAGGTGGGACAGGACCAGAGAGCTACCTCTGGCCATGAGGCCTATCCTTTCTGGTCATCTGCTAGATGTTGGGTTTCTGGACAGCTGAAGCAGAGAAGGGCCCATCTGGCAACACATGCCAAGTTCCTTGTCATCCCAAGCATAAGGCAAAGAGGAATTTCCTTGTAATTTCTTTCAACCTGGTTCTTTAAATATGTTTCCGCTATCCCCGTCATCAAACCACTCTCAGCTGGAAAGGCTGGAAAGGGCCTGGTGTTCTATTTTGTACTTGGTTGCAAGTGACTGATAGTCTGGAATCACTAGAAGCATTTACATAACCCCAGAGTCATATTTTAATCCAAAAGCAGGAGAGAGAGACATACTCTTCTCCTTCCTGGAAGAACGAAGAACCTCAGAGTTGGGTGGGTCTTGGAGAGACTCGAGGGTAGGAGTCCAAGAGGAAACTTTAATCCATTGTGCTCCACATTGCCTCCTCCATCTCTGCATAAGGCCAAACCTACCTGGTCCCATCTAAATCCTAGTGCACTCTCAGGACAGATAGAGAAGGTTGGAGAGCCAACCCAGGCCTCACACCTTCTGTGTGCCCTGGGGTGGGGCATGTCCACAAGCAAGTGAAGGCAGCCTGTCACCCTCCAAGAGTCCCTAGCCCAGTAGCCGCCTTGGAAAGCTATTGTTAGAAAAGTGCAATTAGAGCCTTGTGTTTTCCTAGCCGAGAGGAAGGCGAGGCTCAAGCATCCCCAGAAGCTATTTACATGTGAGATAGAATAACATTTACTTGAGCCCCTATTAAAATACCAGGCACCACACTAGTCCTCATCCATATGTTCTTATCCAGCTAAGCTAGGTGGGATTCTTAAAACCATTTCAGAGACAACAGAAGCACAGAAAGGTTAAGCCACTTAAGGTCATATAGTTAGACAGGAGGAGAGGGAGTATTGGAACCCAAGCAGCTGGTATCCAAAGCACAGCTTCATCAGGCTACCTTCCTCCAGACCCTGCAGCCCTGGTACCCAAGGCAAGAACTGCAAGTCCTGACCACACACAGGTTAACAGAGAGCGGCTCAGGTGGCTGCACTGTGTGCTCCCCATAGTCAGATGTGATTCCAGGGCCTGTTCATCCCTGGGCCTTGCAGTAGAGGAAGCCCAGGCAGTAATGCCCAACATAGCTCATTAGCCCAGAGATGCATTGTGGGAAAATCCTTGCTCTGGGCTGCAGATCCAGGATGAAGTGTTCCTATGAGTCCCCCCAGAGGCTACCCTAATGCACCAGCCCTTCAAGTTCTCACCCTTCCTCTCCAAAAAAGGGGCCACAAGAGGTCATCGGAATCTGTGGCTTTCAGATCGCCTTACATGGGAGGAATAATTTGAGATTCAGAGAGCTGCAGCAATTGCCTGAGGTCATACTGCATCCTAGTCAATGTTACCCTAATCCTGCTTTCTGTAGCTCGTGAGATTGTGGGGTATACACACAGGGCAGGGTGCACACATAAACCCACTTGGTGCTTCCCAATGACAGTTGCTTTTCTCCTTCTTCCTTCTTCCTCCAACCAGGAAATCTGTGGGAACAGCTGAAGGATGATAGCTTGGCCATGGACCCCCTGGTACTAGTGACCTCATCCCCAACATCATCTTCCATGCCACCCCCACCACCACACTGCTTCCCCTCTGGGCCCTGCCTGGCAGAGATGAGCAGTGGGGCAGGAGAGCTGGAACCACCAGGAAGCGGGGGTTCTGGGGCAATGGGTGACCTGCACCTGACCACACTCTACTCAGCCTTCATGGAGCTGGAGCCCACACCCCCCACAGCCACAGCTGGCCCCTCTGTGTACCTCAGTCCCAGCTCCAAGCCCATGGCACTGGCATGAGCCATGCCTGGCATCAGTTCCAGCCTTTGCCTGGCCCAGGAGTTCCAGCTGGCCGCCCACATTGGGCTCACTTGAAAGGTCAAGGAAGGAAAATACTACCTGTCTCCTATGCCACCAAGACAACTTATTTGTTAGCTGGCAGCAGGGGTGTAGAGGACACCACCTCAGGATGTTGCCCCTCAGACATTTCTGCCACGTGGTGAGCCAGCTCCTCACTCAAGGTACCTGAAGAGCAAGTTTCTGGGCAAAAAGAAAACACTCCCTAGCTCACTGATAACCCATACTTGAGCCCATGTGCATGCATGCACACACAGTTATCGTTACACACCCAGCCACATGTGTTCTACAAGTCAAGTCTACATCACAGTGAGCTTGACTTCATGAATGAAGCTGAGAGCTGAGGGCTTTGATTACTCAAAGCACAGAGCCCCCATGCCAGGTCAGAGACCATCCCAGAACCCCATACTGACATCAGCATTCTCTGCAGGCCATCCCCTACCGGTCATGAGCTTTCCCACAAGTCCCCTATATTTATTCCCCACCGCTCCCCCTCTTCATCCTCATAGGTGAGGGAGGAAAGGGGGATGTAAAGAGGAGAGCTTCTCCCCAAATTACCTGTGGGCAGCCCAGGGGGGTCAGACGACTGACCGGAAATGCAGCCACTTATCATCTCCATCCATCCAGGCTCTGCCTGTCTTCAACATGTGCACTGTCTGGTCTCCCTCAACCACGTAACACGTGGGAAAGGGTGACATCCACTCCAGGACCAAACTGAGCCCAGTTCCAACACAAAGTGTTTGGAATAGCCCTAACCTTAAAAACTTGAATCTCTCTTCTTCCAGTGCTGGGCCCAGAAAGGGCCCCTCTCAGCCACCACAGTCTCATTCCTTCTTTATAATGATGTTCATGTAGCTTAGATCCCAACTCATTACTTCCGACTGTCTCAGGTGGATAGATGCCAGGGTACCACCAAAGCCCTCCCTTGCCACTCTCAGCAGCCAACTTTGACGGCTTGGCAGACTTGGGATACCCAGGAAGTACATACGAGCCCCCCTGAGCTCAAGGATGTGGCCCCATCCCCACCAAGCAGCAGCCTCAGTTTACCCTAGATTTAGGAGTGACAAGAGCCCCCAGACATTGTTCACAGGTTCCAATGAGACACAAGCAGACCCCTTGATGGCCTGCTATTGTCCCCTGTCCTGAGACAATAAAGCAAGTGCCTTATGATCTTGGCTACCACGCCTTCATTTCTGGACCTCCCTCTTGGGGAGAAAGATCATACTAACTATAAGCAATAGCTCCTCATCCTCCACCCCGGGTTGTGACCTTTCCAAATCTAGGAAGCAAGTGGGATGGATGTCTTCCCAGGATAACCTCCCAAGAGAACCAGAAAGAGTCCACCTTCCACAGAGGAAGGGAGAGGGCACTCCTTCTGGGATCTTACATCCTTCCCTTCTGAGGCTTGCCCCCTCCTGTTCCCATAAACCCCGACTATCTCTCCACTCAGGACATGGTCACTTGCCTGTTCAGGCTGTGGCTTCTTGTTTGTTCCTACACCCAGATGTACGAGGTGCTGCCGCTTGACCACACTGTGGGGCTCAGCATGACAGGGAAGGAGCATAGTCTGGGTGCTGGATGAACTGGGGTTCTGTAATTCAGATTCCCTCTCCCTCCCCCTTGGGTCCTACAGTTAGGTGGCTGATATCACCAAAATGCCTGAATTTTACCTAAAAAGAGGTAGGTAGGAGGAATTTCAACCTGCTCTGAAAGAATTGTCAAAAAACAAGGCTCCAGGAGTTGACAGCACACCAATTGATATATTTCAACAGACTCTGCCCTGGATGTGCTCACTAAGTTGTGCCAAGAAATCTGGAGGACAGCCAGCTGGCCGACTGACTGGAAGAGATCAATATTTGTTCCTATTCCAAAGAAAGGTGACCCGACAGAGTGCGGAAATTATCAAACAATATCATTAATATCATATGCAAGCAAGATTCTGCTGAAAATTATCCAAAAATGACTGGAGCAACACATCAACAGAGAACTGCCAGATGTGCAGGCTGGATTTAGAAAAGGCTGTGGTACTAGGGATATTATAGTTAATGTTAGATGGATCTTGGCAGGTAGCAGAGTAATGTCTGTGTTTCATTGACTGTACAAAGGCTTTTGACTGTGTGGATCACAACAAGCTGTGGCTGACGCTGAGAAGAATGGAAATCACACAACATTTGATTGTGTTTATGTAAAACTTATATTGAACCAAGAGGCAGTATCAGAACAGAGCAAGGAGACACTGCATGGTTCAAAATTGGGAAGGCGGTCCTCCAGGAATGTATTCTGTCTCCATACCTTTTCAATCTGTATGCACAACAGATCATCCGGGATGCCGGGCTGTATGAGAAGGAATGTGGCATCAGGATTGGTGGAAGATTCATCAACAACCTGCTTTATGCAGATGACACAACCCTGCTTGCTGAAACTGGGGAGGACCTGAAGTGCTTGCTTCAGAAGGAAAAGGACCGCAGCCTTTAATATGGATTGAAGCTCAACATCTACAAAACAAAGAATCTCACCACTGGGCCAATTGGCAGCATCATTATAGATGGTGAAGAGACTGAGATTGTTAACAGTTTTAGTTTATTTGTCTCCACAATCAACACTCTTGGTACCAGCAACCAAGAAATCAAGAGACAAATTGCATTGGGAAAGTCAGCTGTCAGGGACCTCTCCAGAGTACTGAAGAGCAACGACATCAGGCTGGAGACTAAGGTGCACCTGATCCAGGCCATCGTTTTTGCAATTGTATGCTGCGCCTCAGAGAACTGGAGAGTGACTAGGGACGATAGAAGGAGAACTGATCCCTTTGAGCTGTGGTGCTGGAGAAGAGTGTTGAATATACCATGGACTGCTAGGAGAACAAACAGGTTCGTCCTGGAGAGGGTGAAACCAGGCTGCTCCTTGGAGGCAAGGATTCTGAAGCTTCGTCTGACATGCTTTGGGCATGTTGCAAGGAAGGACCAGTCCTTGGAGAGGGACATCATGTTTGGGAGAGTGGAGGGACGACACAGGAGAGGAAGACCCTCGATGAGATGGATCGATTCAGTGATTGGGTAATGAGAGTAGGTGTGTCAGAGACAGTGAGGTTGGCACAGGATAGAGCAGAGTTTGGGGCTCTTGTACATGGGATTGCTATGCGTCGCAAGCGACTCAACGACACATAACAAAAACAAACAACAGCTCTAAGTGGGTTTGAAGGAGAAAAAAAAATTATATATAAACTTCAGGCCCTGAGCAACCACAGGTGAAACATTTGCTTACTAAACTTCTTCCAGGTACCAGGTCTATGGTCCATCAACACCTACATGCCCCATAGGACGCCTGGAAGAAAGATCCCATAATAGAACATTGTCCCCCCATCAGCACTCTCCTTCCCAGTGCCTCTAGAGTTGAATCCAGGGCTAGAATGGAAGCATGGGCTAGGGAGTGTGGGGAAATAGGGCCAACAGCTATACCCAAGAAGAACACTCAGCCGTATACAATAAGGGTGGTGGCCCTTGACTAAGCCCACCAGTGATGTTGGACCGCAACTCTGATCAACCATGGGCCTGCATTGTAATGTCCATACTCCCAAGGAAAGGGCTAGTGTTTCACAGGAGATCTTAACTAAAACCTGTCTCCTTGTCTTGGATCCTGGGCCCTTAAGACAAACCTAGCCTACTAGCAGATGGAATTCTCTCCTCCAGGGACCTCATTTGAGCGCTCATATAACACACTCAGGCATGAACTGAGCACAGATAAGCCTGGTGGCAATCAGTTTAGCTTTAGAGTCTGGTGTTGGTGATCATACTGGTCCTCAGACTTAAATCAGGCCCTCATCACCACACTGGAATGAGTTCTTCACTTCCTCTCGTATGCTGCCCCCTACTGGCAAGCCAACAGTCTAGCCTCTGTATTAAGTTGAACAAGAAAAGATCAAAAATGATCTTAGGGTCTGGAAAGCCCCTTATTTGGGAAGAATTAACCTTGTGTCCAAGGGTTACAACACTGAGGATTCTAAACCAGGTTAAAATTCACAGATTCATAAACTTTGAAAATTATGCGTTCATTTCATTTAATCTCTACCTGAATGTCCCCCCGTTATGAATGTTGCCAACAAATTGCAATCCTCTATGCACAATAGGTCAGATAACACAGACTTTGAAATATGAAGGACCCCTAGTGGTGCAAAGATGAAGTGCTTTGCATCTAACTGAAAGATCACCACTCCACAGGAAAAAAAACCCCATGGTCATCTCCCATGAAGATTTCAGCCTATGTGAAATGAATGGACAATCAGACGTTATGTGTATTGCAGTTAACAATCTGGAATAGGATATACATTGAAAGGGGGATGGGAGAAAAATGTGTATAAGTGAGTAAAAAAATCAGTTTCTACATAAACTTTTATTCAAATGACACAAAAAATAATTTTAAAAAATATTTAAAATTAATTTAAAAAACTTCTATGAAGCAGCTCTACTCTGAACTGAATGTAATGGATTCAATAGCACCCCACATAACTAACTAAAGAGACATATGCATACATAATATGTAACACAGGAAATTTCTAAATTCATAGGCTTGTCATGCATTCTATCAACTGTTGTTACAGGCAGTCGAGTCGCTTGCGACTCATAGAGACCCTATGTACAAGAAGAGCTCTAAACCCTGCTCTATCTTGTTCCAACCTCACCATCTCTAACACACCTAGTCCTACCACCCCAATCACAGAATCAGTCCATCTCATCGAGGGTCTTCCTTTCCTGCGCTGTCCTTCCACTCTCCCAAATATAATGACCCTCTCCAAGGACAGGTCAATTATATACATATAAATCAGGGAGCTCTGGTGGCCACATGGTAAGGAGCTGCACTGCCAAGCCAAAGGCCTATGGTTCAAATTCACCAGCTGCTCCGCAGAAGACAGACAATCGCCTTTCATGTGATTTACTGTCTCTGAAAGC